ACTATCATACAAAAATATAAAAGTCAAATTGAGTACTATTAGACACAACACTACTTGCCTGTTGCATTGTTTGTTTCGATCCTTCGACGGATTCGATCCCGTATCAACGAGACGATGGGAGGAGTAATGATTTTTAGCGCGACTGAGAGTCCACCGAACAAGCCAACAATTGTTGTGACTATTTGCAATAGATTATTGCGCGACGTAAATATATATGTGCATTGTTCGGGTGCACATTGCTCGTAGTATGCGTTGTATTGACTATTTTCATTCCATGTTTCAACCATGAGATGATCTATTATGGTTCCAATGGGAGTTTGAGGTGAAAATTGAGTAGCATTTGTCTGGAGAATAGATATATTGATGGATTTACTCGATTTAATCTCGCTTTGTATAAGATCCAAACATGTTTGATTGAAAAAGCATTCGAGTGTAGATTGATAAACGGATGTAATGACGAAACAGCCTGCGAAAATATTTGGAAGAGTGAATTTCAAGTAGTATGGATTATAGATAGTATTATTTGTATAATTAAAAAAAGCTATTTCATCTCGACATTCATCTTCGATTCCGCAAGAACATGTAGTCGATGCTGATGGCATCCAGCCAAAATCAATCGGCGTAGTAGTATTTGCGGACCGATTATTGTCCAATAACACGTTTTCATATCCTGTAGCATACAAAGTCCTTGTGTGTGCTTCAATGAGTGATAGAATATGTTTGAATTCGGCTATTGTATTCTTTTTAAATTGTTCGAGTGTAATTTCTGTACGAGTTTTGAATTCAAATTCGGACAATACTAGATCGGTAACGAATGAATTTTGACTAAAAATGTACCAACTATTGTTCACAGTCGTTTGTGAGAGAGAACATAAAGTGGTCAGAGTGTTGAAAAATGTTACACCAGCTACTCGAAAGTCTATAATATCAAATAATGAGTCAACAATATTCAGACTCGATATAGAAGCACTCCACGCCTTGGATACGAACAAGCTCGAGCATAATGGATGAAGTTCAGGAGATAATAAAGTGAATGATTTGTATGGAATGGCAATATGACTACATGGACATTGAAGCGTGCTTTGATATTTGTTGTACAAATGTTCAAAGGTCATTCGAGATAGTTTTTGAATAGTAACAACTTGAGTTTGATAAGATGACATTGTATATATAGCAATAATGGCCATGGACAGAAGTGTGAGAAAAATATAGACGCGAGTAGATATTTTTGCGGTTTCCAATTCGAAAGGACCAGTGCGTGCAGCAGCTGAATCGAACAAATTCAACTCGTTCAGTTGATCCCGAATCCATTGCCAGACTGTTCGAGAGCGCTCGATAAGACCAATAGCTAAGAGAGTGATAGATGGTTTTATACTCTGTTACACGCAATAAAAAAAACTTACGTGGATTGGGATCTGTTTGAAGGTTACGTTTTCGCCACCATCCAACCACGAGGGGTACACATAAACGAAGCACAGTTACAAGTCCACCATAGAGACCTAACAATGTAGTCAGCACATATAGAGCACTGTTTTTTTCTGTGAATTTATATGTGCATGAAATTGGAGCACATTGTAAGTAGTAGGCTGAGAATGAACTATTTGAAGACCAGTTTTCAATAAAAAGGTTGTCGATAAGTGTTCCAATAGTTGTGTTTGGTGCGTATTGTGTTTGATTACTGTCAAGAATATCGATAGGTGTGTTGTTACTTAATGGAAAATATCTGAGAACAACATTGAGACATGTTGAATTGAAGAAACATTCGAGCTTTGATTGATATACTGATTCAAGGGCATAACATGCGGCCACAAATCCAGGTACTTTTGCCAGAAATGAACGAGGCAATGTAAAGTATCCCTCACTTTCGTAAGCGAAGCGACTAAAAAAGCCAGATGGCAACGAACAACTTGATGTAGAATCACAATAACATTCTGTGGAACGATTTAAAGCCCAAATTGTATCCAACGGATATGGATCGATTAAACCATTCGGATATACATACAGTAAATGCATTTTCATTGTTTGTAGTGCTGATTGCAATCTATTACTTTGAGTTGTGCCGCGTAAGAGAACAAGAAATCGACGAAAACTATTCGTTGTTGATGTTCGCCAAAACAGATTTTGTGCTTGACTTTGCATATCAAGTGATCTTGGTGCTAGAACTTGCGAGCTTAGTAGAGTGTCTGAGAGTATATCATCGATTGCATCTTGTATTGTTCTGTTTGCAAATGAACACAATGTGGTAAGTAGTTGAAATTGACCGGTAGCCGATGAACGAAAGTCAACTGGAAAGTAGTAGCCTATCTGCGGACTAAACAAAAGATTGATCCAGGTTTTGGAAATAAACACACTTGAGCATAGTGGATGCAACTTGTAAGATGTTTTAATGAAGGCCTTGTATGGAATGTCAATTTGGTTACATAGACATTGAAGTGTATTCGAATATTTCGATTGCAGTTTCTCGAAAACTGCTTGAGACGGATTTTGAATGACTATAGTTTGAAGTTGATTACCAAATGCAGTGAATATAACAAGTATCGTGACAGCGATTGTGAGTAAGACAATGTATAATCGGGTCGAGATAATTGCAGTACGCCAATGAAAAGGATTTGAAACAGTAGCACTACTTTCGAAAAGATTCAATCCAGCAGCTTTCGTCAAAACCCAACGAGTGACAGTGACAACTTTCATCTTTAGCTTTTTGTTAAAATAAAAAACATTTCCGTCGAGAATTGCTGTTTTTATATTCTGATTCTATAACGTGAAGTTGTTAAAGGAAAAGCTCAGCTCATTTTCTTTAAGTGCCAAAAAGTATTTTTACATCGCAAAAACTATTGAAGCTTCACAGAAAATGCCATTTCATATCTTCCATCATCATATTATTCTTTTAAATAGAATAATCAACTTAATTACTTTCTCATGTACATTTGCTTTATTAGTTTACATCAAATCAACAAATCTACTGTAAAATGCTCTACTGTAAAAGTCAGGCTCCTTGTTAGCCAAGCAGAACATTTGATTTTTTTAAAATTTGTTTCACATACAATCACTTTAAAAAAAGTATTCGAATACCTATGTATTTTTTCATCATTCACAATCTTCAGAGCAACAACAATATATAAATTTGTTTTTTTCTACCATTGGATAACATTCACTTTGTGATTTTTTCAATTTCAAAATAAATAATGTTGACCATAGTTTCGAATATTCGAAGTTTTCTTTTACGTTAAAATAGCTCCTTTTTGTTTCGAAGCGTTGATCTAATGTGCAACTTTTTCCTGCTTATTCTCTCATTCTAATTCTGCTCTTCAATGCATTATTGTTTTTCCTATAGCATTCGATAGAGCACAGAATGTGCTAAAAGCTAAATGTTAGTAACTTAAAGTTTTTCATCAAATATAGAGCAAACTTTCTACTCTATAGTCAAACCATTTTTATGTTGATGAACAAAACAGGTTCCAGTATTTTTATTAGATTTTTTTTGTGAACATTGGCACAGGTAGAAAAAATACTATCAGTGAGAAAGTTCATAATGAATTGTTTCATAATCTAGGATGATACTTATTGAATAGCAAGATTGAAGATTCTTGCAAACAAATTTAATGTCATTTTTGAAACTACTACAACAAATAGAACTCGGATTTGTATAGAACTATAAAAATCCAGCTCATGTATATTTCATTCTGTCAAGAAATTGTCTCTCTCTGGATAAAAGCAATAATTATATGAGCATTCACATGTGTCGTCCAATCTATACCCATGAAACGTCAGTCTGCGATGTCGATATTTATTTCAATACCGAATGTTCCTCATTTTTGATCATTGCAGATTATCTATCGACGCAAAAGGTCTAACTCCACTTCGACGAAAGTGCACGTGCAATTAAACGATTTGCAATCGAACGGTTACTGAGAAGTGCAATACTCAAGGACATGACTAATAAATTGAGAATGAACATGTGAGTACTCACTATTATTGCTTTCATCCAGAGAGAAACAATTTCTTGAAAGAATGGAATATATATGAGCTGCATTTTTATAATTCGATAGAAATCCGAGTTCTATTTGTTGTAATAGTTTTCAACAATGATATTAAATTGTTTGAAAAAATTTTGGGTGTGGGTGTGCGGTATGGGGTGTGGGTGGGGTGTGGGGTGTGGGTGGCTGTGGGTGGGGTGTGGGGTG